TCTATTATATCCTTCTTCATATTGTGTCACCACTAATGCTATTTTAGGTCTTGGTAGTGCTTGGGTGCATCAACGGGTTGAAGTGCGTATTCTCGACCTAACATGGTTTGTTGTCCTTGTTGGATCAAATTTTGGGTTGTTAATTTTGTGCATTGGATCTGTCTTTGGCTTGTTGTTCTTATACGTTGGATCTGCCTTTAATTTGTTAATCTTATATGTTGGATCGATTCTTAGCTTGTTGATCTTGTACGTTGGATCGATCCTTAACTTGTTGATCTTATATAGTAGATCATCTATTGGCTTTAGGTCTTAAAGTCTCTTAATCTTCAAAGTGTCTTTGGTTTTTGAAGAGTCTTCCATCTTCAAGTTGCTGAGAATCTTCGATTTTCAAGAGCTTCAAGGAGTCTTCTGATTTTGTTGAAGTCTTCTGATTTTGTTGAAGTCTTCTGAGTGCTCTTAAATGTCTCAAGGTTCTCAATTTTCTAAATCTTAAACGTGTCGAAGTTAGGTGTATGTCTCTAGGTTCAACAATTGTTGAATATACTTACATAATGTAAATTTTAAAAATAAATATATTTAAAAAGAAATACTTCATCTTCAAAGTCCAAAAGATAGTATTTTCCATTTTTAAATAAAATCTCACAATTGTTGAATATATGTGTGCAATATATTGGCTGTATATATAGGTTTTCCAACGTGGTTCCTTCTAGTAAGTTTAAGATACTGACCTGATCACGCATATCACATTTTTGTTCCTTTGGAGATGAAAATATCTCCAAATGGAACTTGTTGGTCGACTCTTAAGTAATCACTTGAAGCTAGAACTGTATAAGAAAGAATAAAGTCGTTTGAGATTAATTTCTTATTGGTATAACGGGCAATAGTGTGAAGCATTAAACTATCATATCAGGCAATATGTATTGTGGACAAATTTAAGTTTCTTAAATTTTTTATACCTGTAGAGATTGAATTCTAACTTTCTCCAAATTATAGTGACCAAATTTGTAGTTTAACCTATTGCTTGACTTGAGTTAGAGAAAATGAGAAGTTTTACTAATGTTTCTTCCAATGTTTAGTTGAAAATTTGGGGGTGTTGTACTTAAACTCCTCCCGTTTCTCTATTGCAGACCCCTCCTTTTCCCCATCACCTGCTGAGTCGAGGAAGAAGATGCAAAGATGAGCACCTTCCCCATGTGAAATTAAGGGCACCAATTGACACAAAGATGTCTCGAAGATCGACTAGGTTAGCAGAAAATGCAAATGAATATTTGAAGAAAACAATAAATAGTGAAGCTGCAACATCATCTGGAACTAAGAGATATGGTGTATCTGGGGGAAGCCATAAATCTTCTAGAGGGAGGCCGAAGTTGAAGCGGGATAGTGAAATCAAGCTAAATGAAGTTACGTTTCCTCCTTTATCTTTTGAGCAATTAGAGGGAAAGAAGAGAAAGACTTGCAGGAAAAGCTCAGTGGTCACAAGAGCAACTGCTTCAAAGAACTTCAAGTCTGAAGGGATCAAAAAAGGGGACGGAAGATCAAGGAAGAGGGTGTATTATCAGAAAGTGGTTTTTGATGGTGGTGAATTTGAGGTTGGGGATGATGTTTATGTGAGAAGGAGAGAAGATGCAAGCTCCGACAATGAAGATCCCGAAGTTGAGGAGTGTAGAGTGTGCTTTAAGTCTGGAAAGGCTATAATGATTGAATGTGATGATTGTCTTGGTGGTTTTCATTTGAAGTGTTTGGATCCGCCCATGAAGGAAATCCCTGATGGTGATTGGATTTGTGGGTTTTGTGAGGCTACTAAAATGGGCAAAGTGGTTCAATTACCAAAGCCTCCGGCAGGTAAAAAACGGGTTAGGACAATGAGGGAGAAGCTTCTGGCAGGTGACTTGTGGGCTGCCCAAATTGAAAGGTTGATTTTTATTGACTTATTTATTCTTTTTTTGAATGTTTATAAATGTCAGCCTGATTTTCATGTGTACAATTAGTTAATTAGACTGTTGGAAATGTGCAGTTTATGGAAAGAAGTAAATGGCAACCATCACTGTAAGGTTAGATGGTATATAATCCCAGAAGAGACAGCAGCTGGAAGGCAACCACATAACTTGAAGAGAGAGCTTTATTTAACTAATGATTACGCAGATATTGAGGTAATTAATTGGGTTTTACTTATGGTTGTTGTAATCTCCTAGTGAACCTAGTTGAATTCATTTCTACGTATTTGAGATACTTCTTCTCTCTCTCTCTTTTCCTTTTGTTGTCTATATTTCCTTTTCTATTTGCTAGTTTATGTAGTTGAAAGGAAGGTCACGTATGCAATCGAAAGTCCATGTGATGTTGACAACTTTAAAGAGCTAGGTTATATGTGGAAACTAGTCACATTATTTTAGAAAGTCAAGCCATCCAGACATAATTGTTTATGCTCATAATTTTTCTTTTGCCAAGCGAGGATCGACTAATTTTCATCTTGGCTTTACATAATGGAGAGCACATGTCAATTCATTCAGCCTAGCCCAAGGACATGCCTATAGTTTTTACGTTCAATTCATATTTTCACAGAATTAGCAGCAAGGTGTGAGACCTCCATTTGGGCATGCTTGTTCAAGGAAGGGTAAAAGAGGAATTGCACACAAGATAGAGCTTTACTGTACTTGAGACGAGCACACAAGATAGAGCTGTACTGTACTAGAGATCGAATATGTTCAACCCCAGTCCTTGCCCTACTTGATTTTAGCAAACCGTTGAGTTGGTTGTGGATGCTTCAAGAATGGGTGTGGTGGCTGTATTGTCTCATCAAAATCATCCACTTGAATATTATAGTGAATTATTTAGTTCCCTTGGAGAACATATGAGCAAGAACTTTACTGAGCATTAAAACAATAAGAGCATTGTCTCTTAGGGAAAGAGTTTATACTATGTACGAACCATTTTCACTCAAACTTTTACACACACAAAAAAAAAAAAAAAAAAAAAAAAAAAAAAAAAAAAAAAAAAAAAAAAAAAAAAAAAAAAAAAAAAAAAAAAAAAAAAAAAAAA